AAGCATCTCGATATAGTCATTTCACGCCAGAGTTTCCGAATTCTACTTATCAAACTATCCATAGAACCGACAGAAAACTCAAACTTTGTTTATCCAAGTTGCGAAGCCAATTTGTCTTTGATCAATTTAGAGCTCCAGTTTCAGGCAGTTGCCAACCAGAAAACGATTTCTTATTAGGAGATCGATGTCAAAGCATGGCTTCGCATAGATGGAATCTTTGTAGGGGGAGTTATCAGGCTCATCCTTTGAGGACAGTTGAATCCAATACGGCATCCATCTGGCAAAAGCACTCAGATCTGAAATAGGTCGAACAGCTATCTCTGGTGTTGTTCTTCGCTTCTTTTCTAGGCTGAAAAAATATGAGAAAATATGGATCGGTGTTCAAGAGAAATGAGCTGATTTCGATGTTTTGAACTTGAATTCATCTTCCCAAATTTGGGCGCATAAGAATTCCTTGATAAATCTCAAATGTTTTTCAAAAATACACCAGAATGAAAGATCTGTCTGTCTGTCTGTCTGTCTATCTGTACATCCTCCTGAAGAGTTTTTCTCCTAGGTCATCGTCCATCCTGTCCTTTCCAGAAAGGTGGGGTGTCACTGAGATCTTCTTTATATCGGCAGGTGTAGGCCAAGACTCGCCGAACACACACTCTCTTATTGACGATAACTCCGGGCACTCGCATAGGACATGCCTGACAGTTTTATCTTCCTGTTCACACATCCTGCATAGAGGTGTGTCCACTAGCCCCATATTATGTAGGTGTTTCCTTAGCTGACAGTGGCCAGTCAGAAATCCTACTGTAAGGCGTAGATTTTTCCTGGTCATCGCCAGATATTTCTTCGGCGCCAGCTTCCCAGGGTCGCCCAAGGTGATCCTGGCAAGATTACATCCTTTGATTTCNAAATCAATTTAATGCAGAGTACAACAGACTGTTGGTTGATACTGGAAGTCACAGCTTTCTGTAAATGACCGCTGACGATGCGCGGGGGTAGAGAGGCGGTTTAAGCAATGAAGCGCCATCGCCAAGAACGCGACGCGAACGCGGGCAGACGCGTGAGGGCAGACGTCATTGACGGTTGTGTTAGTTATGAGAATTTCTTTATAGGTAACATAATTCGATTCTCGAAGCTATTCATTACTTAGTGCAGTTGTATATTTTTTCAGTTACTGTATTTTTAAGTGAAAATATAAATTACTAGGTGTTACTCGCGCTTATATCAACGTACAGCCGAAGCTACTGAACCTAGATCTTGAAATATGCAGGTAGGTTCTTTGTATAACGTAAATAAGCATCAAGAAAGGATCTCAGGAATTTCCACCTCCAAGGGGAAAAAATAGAGTTTCGAAGATTGTATTGAATTTCGTTAGTTTTGAAGTTGGAAATCTGAAGTTTTGGGTCATTAACAAAATATTGTAACTATTTGTTTGAAATGGTCTGTCACGAAACCTAATGTGAAAAACCAAATTCTACGCGGGCGAAGCCGCGAGCAACAATTAGTAGGTCATGTGATGTTCCTGGATGCGATTCCTAAATGTTCTGCCATTCAATCACTTCATCGGTTTGAAGAAAATAATTGATGTAGATGAGAAATCTGTTTCGAAATACTAATTGCAGAATGTTTACAACAGTTGATAATGAAGAAGCTTTTATTTCTCGAATATATCGAACTAATACATAAATGAATGCTAAAAACAATGATGATTATAAAAAATGCTACTCACTAGTTCTCATAAGGTGCTACTATTGGATAATTGTAAGTCCTAATATCATGAGGACTACTTTGGGACAACATTAGGAACAAATATCAGAGAAATCACATATGAATAGTGTCACCAAACACTTGAATGAATCATTTGTTTCAACCCAAAGGCAATAGAAAATTCTAATAAGCCTAAAATTACGAGTACTACTTGATTTAACGAAGTTTTTAGGTGGAAGGGACTTTCAATATTAGACGCGAAAATTTGCTTTATTCACTTGAAATTGTTAGGACCGTCATTAAAACAAGAATTTACAGTTGAGGGTAGAACATGGGATCTAATTCTAACACGACTGCCAAACAAAAGTCTCTTGTCCCTCAATATTTGATGCTGATATATCTATCCCATTCACACATTTCCATGAGTATACTAAAATTTTGTGTATGGAGTTATGTAGCTTGTACCCTATGCTTCAGTCAGTCCACTTGATGAAAATTTAATTAATGTATCCTAATGGTAGTTGGCTGAACCTTAATCAAACGCTTTCCCACAACGAAGTCTCTTATTCTCTGTAAGCTAATTGCTTACAGTGGTATCTACTTTTGCAGGCTGTTTTGGAATTCAATCATTCCAATTTACATATATGAGCTAGGTAGTGGTCAAAATAAATAACAGTAATTCAGTACAATTTTTCAGTTTGAAGTGTCATTAGGAATCTTAATGTTATCCGTATGATTTTCAAGCATTGAAGTGTCCTAAATCTAGTGTCTGAATATAATGACCAGAAAGTTCTCTTCAATTCAATTTCTAAGAATATCGCTTTTGAAGAAATTTGGATAGTATTTTTCCAAATGTAATGCAACATCAGTGTACAAATTGTCAAACTCTACTCTGTACAAAATTGAAAAATCGTCAAAATCACCTCGGAAACATGTCAAAAATTTTTGAGAACTAAGAATTTGTAGGGCTCTTACCTTTTGAGGCGAGATCTCAAGGTGAAACCTATTGATGTGCCACGAGGAAATGGCAACATACACAACAAACCTACCTTCTTGACACGTATTATATGATTCATTTATCAAACTGATGACTTTTGAAATATTTGGATTCATAAGTGGGACGTACTCTTATAAAACCTACCCACTGACTTGGATAAATGTTTTGAAGTTCATTCGAAAAATTGATTAGATTAATGCGTTTATCTTTTCTTGAGATTATTGGGCCCCCTCAAATTTTGAAAAACCAAAAAAAAATATCTTTGCAGTCCAACTTGAACTTTTGAATTCTATTACAATCTTTCAACAATCTTCAACGGAATTGTCTCCGTTGCTTCTGGTGAGAGATTATACTCAAAATGGAAAATAATTGAAAAGTATTTGTGGTCAACTCGCTATAAGAGAGATTATATGGTCNTAATCCTATATGAACACTGAATTATACAGAAGATACTTTTCTCTACTCAGTTTGTATTTCAAACATTCGTTGTGGAATAAAAATCAGATAACATTCACATGAGGTCTACTTTGAATTAATAGTAATAAATTGCACTTACATGGAACACTGTCACCCTCACTGGTATACAAGTATCTTAAGGAGAAACATCGGTGTATACCAGTGAGTCTACGCCTATATTTGAAAAGGTTGGCTCGACTGGCTACGTAAAAAAACAGCGTTAGATAGTAGCAGGTACTGCAGTCAGAGAAAAATGAGAACACTTTTTACTGTTCAAGCTTTCGAGACTACATTGGCTCTTCTTCAGGAACTCTATAGTACAATAATAGTGCGAAACAAATGAAAAGTAGTACTTACGAAAGGTGAGATTATGAATATGAAGCCAGCATGAGAATCAATGTTTCCCTAAATTCATCATCGAATATGAAGTTTGAATAAATAAACAACTATATATAGTAAAATCAGGAGTTAACTCAAATAAAATAAGAATAACTGTTTCCAATTGAATAAAAATATTTTGTTGAGTTTTAATGAAGGACAAAATATAAAATGTAAAAATTATGTCTCAGAGTGACTGCCTGTATCACTGAAGTCATTAGGACACTTCAAAATATTTTTGTTGGAAGAGTGGAAAATTGGGAAAGAAAGTTTTTGGCTTTCTACTACTCCATCTTGATACAAAAAAAATATGTCAAAATGTTTCTAAAAACATTATTAGTTATGAGAATTTATGGCTCTGGTCAAAATTTCAGAAAGATTTAGTCACATCGGTTATACGTGGTAATTTTTTTGAGGTTGAACGTAATAAATTATACTTACTCACAAATGCATCACATATAACGCTGAAAAGTACTTTGAATGGATGAAGTATAAATAAGACACTGTTATTAATTTGTCTGTGAATTTCACATGCAATTCATTTGGTTTGAACCTAAAAAAATATCATTGAGTCTTCATGAAGTTCTTTATAGAGCCTTAATATCTTATCCTGAATAACTTTTTTCAGTAACATTCTAACTCATTCATAAAGGAAAAAGGTAAATTACTAGAGAAAAATTTGAACTTCACTTCACCATCAATGCCAATTTGATTTTCATAATTTGAAAAAAATGGAATTAATTTCTCACCAAGCAGAGCTCAAGTCCTCAATCTAAGAATGAAATGTTCAGTTCTTCATCATACTTCTTGTAACAACAATCCTGGGACACACTCTATATACAGTGTGATACGATTGAGATGAAGACACCCCCTTTATTTTTTGAAAATAGAGATTTGATTTTTTGATACTGGTGTAGCTCTGTATGGGCCGCTTTTTTCGCAATACTTAGCCCGAGTAACAGTTTTCAACCCAGCCTACTGCAAACAAGGCAAATTTGGGTTGAGATTCAGTATTTAGGGTCAGAATCGATTTCTCAGCAACTTTCTCGAATAACTCTACGGTAAGAAAGTTTTTGGCTTTCTACTACTCCATCTTGATACAAAAAAGGGGGATGAGGAAATATTCCAAAGAAAGGAAAGAAGTAATCAATTTGAAAATAAGTATCTCTATACATGGATGTGTAGATCATTCAAAGAAGTAACTTTCAGACACAAACTGAAAGGAATTCCTCCTGAAACAGCTACTGTCACATAAACATTGAATTACACGAAAGAAAAAAATTCTTTCGAAACAAATAATCCTATATGAACACTGAATTATACAGAAGATACTTTTCTCTACTCAGTTTGTATTTCAAACATTCGTTGTGGAATAAAAATCAGATATCATTCACATGAGTTCTACTTTAAATGAATGGTAACAAATTGCACTTACATAGAACACTGCCATCCTCACTGGTATACACCGATGTTTCNAAATATCGCTTTTCCTGTAGAACAGCAAATAAGGAACTCGCGTTCCCTGGGGTTTCAATACGTCTTCATTTTGCACGGTCTTGACCGAAGAATCGTCGTACCTAATCCAGCAATTGTAGCCGACGTGGAAGGCATCGGTCACGTAGTGTCCAATGTTGGCATTTTTGCCTTCATGGTAAACGACGGCGAATAGCTTGTATTGTCTCCCTGTTGGAGACTGTGTTTCCGACGAAATCAAAGTCGAATTCAAATTCAAAAGCCTTGATAATCTTCGTGCAACGGTAGTTACTGTATTTGAAAAATTTCAGATGCAAAATAAGGATAACGGGAAGTTTGCAGAGCGTAATTTGTTCCCACGCTTCGACCTTCTCGTTTGTTTTCGACGAAGTCACTCCCTCTAAAATGTTCTTGGAGACAAGTACCTTAAGCGCTTCTCTGACGGTCTTCACTTTCTCAATGGTGAGTCGCAGGGTGAGAAAAGCCAGGGTATTCTCAGTAATGTGGTCCACGTTGCGATGAATGCTCGACTTTAGTTGCCCCCCGAAGATGTCACTTATCGTTGTATTGCTGAAATCGATCCTTCTGGTTGAATGTCCTTTTATTTTTCGATTCTATTATGTTCCATAAATTGTTTGAATCATTGCTCAAAGCAGAGTCAACGAGAGGTTTTTCATCTTTAATATAATATTTAACTGATTCAGCTCAAGCATTTCATCATTGAGTCCATTCAAAAGAAAACCTAGACACTCTTCTGCATCTTGTTGTCTACCATCAATCCAGTCAGTCCGCATGTTATGCAACATAAATCCAAGTCGGACCGAATGGGATGCCAGTGTTGATTGAAAATTCATACTGAGAGGATCTTTAAAGATGTTAGATATTTCAGAAAGATTATTGTATGTAAGCTGTTGGCGTGGTCTAATATTTTCACACTTTCATATGCCATTTTATTTGTGGTCCAAGTTGATGGAGTGTTGTGCTAAAGTGCAACTCTTTTATTTTCAGTATCACTTTTGTGTGCCGTGATTCTATCCTTGAGTCTACTACGTTGACCTATGTAAATCTGGAACAATTTACTTTTTCCTTTGTGAAGAACTTCATAATCATTCGTGACGTTATTATTCATAGTTCGAACTTACCTGATAGCCTAACCTAACCTCATCTCATCTTGAGTTTGAAATCGGAACTATGGAGAAAGTATATTTTTAGTCCTTCTAGTCCTTTTTCTAGTCCTTCACCACTTACTGGCATCAAGCAGAGATAAGCAGTAACCTGATGAATTCCTCTGCAAACGTTGAAATGAGACAATATTTGTCCCGCAGTTTCAGCTTCAGCTTCAGGCATGAAAAAACCACTGAATTATCGGTATTCACTGATCGACTTGGTTCCCTTCATCAAAATAATTCATGTATGTTACAGTCATGAATACATGTCATCTCCCCGTAATGTGACAGGAATCTCAGGGGGACATATTTAGAAGTATGTGATTTTGGCATACTCAGATCACACGATTCTCAGACCCAATATTCACCCGTCCTCGGTATTTAAAACCAGCGCACCCTTCGACAAAATCGGAGTTTTGAGTACAGGATCAAGTAGAAACTTTTTTTCATCTAATTTTCCAAAGTTCTTCGTATAGTGGTGGTATGGAACTGAAATATATTTATCTTGGTTTTCGTCGTTTTAAAAAGTCGAGATTTCGTTCATTCTTAAACTAAACTTTTTCTTCCTCATTATATGACCCCCATCCTGAACATATAACATTAGCCCACAGTCCGCAGATGGTGCAGTGATACTACAACTCGTTATTTTTCCCAAATTCTTCGCAAATAATACATTTGTTATAAATTTCATCATCCACATTCATTTCGTCATCACTGTCAACGTCACAAAGGATCTTCATCTTCACTCTCTGAAGAACTTTCTTGTAAAATTTTTCTCTTGCAAGATTTTTCTTTCAAATGTTTGTTCTTTTCTTAGCCACCTTTTTTTGCCTGGATTTATCATCTTTTCCAATCTTATTGAGTTTCTTAATTTTTTTTCTTCTCTTTATTCTCTAAAATGATTTTCATAGGGGTCGCAATTAATATAGTAGCATGTTGTTTTCGCTTTCTTTAACCTGGCTCAGAAGATGGTGCAATACTTGGTGTCGTTGCTAAAGCAGCAAAGAATACCGGAGTTCTTTGCACATCAACAAGTTCTTGGTTACAAGAAACTGTCAGAACAGATCCAGAGCATTGATCCTCATTTGATGGACCTGCCAAAGGAGATGTATGTCCTAGAATTATAGCCAGACCATCAGACTGCGAATCTTCAAAATTCTGAACATTTGGGTCTAGGTTTTCAGCGATTTGTTCCGATTTTTGTACCACCAGCGACGCTGCCAAAAATCTTGATCACTGAAAACATTTGGGTTCAATGGGTAAACTCCCGTGGCTCGAATTCAATCGAAGTTTTAGCAATTTGAAGGTCTTCTTTGATCCAAGCCGCTTTAGCGGTGGTCCTGTGACGATTTCTTGGCATATCTACAACAATGAAAATATAAATCACTGACGGGTAATGGTGCTCAGATGAGCGATATAACCCCAAATGGTCGTTTTGTGATGAATTCAAAATAAAAAAAACATATACAATTGTTGAAAACTGATTGCATTATCATGAAATAGAATAGTTTTATGTCAGAATAGTAAAATTGATAATTAAATAAGCATAAGTTTTGGACTTACTGACAAAAAACACCTGAACAAAAATTAGATCAGCGCGACCGCAAATGAAAAAAAACGCACTTTACGCCCTAAGAAGGGAGCTAGCTGTCTGTTTGCAATGCTGTCTGTTAGAGGGCCCCTCTCCTCGCGCTTCACGCAGTAAGCGCTATTCCCCCTCCCACCCCTATATAGAGCGTTCAATAGAAAAAACATTCGTTCAAAAACACAAATTGCACAATAAACTTTCGATTTTCAAGGCTCTAACGAAGCTGGAAATGACTCACATTGTATTCAGCTCTGATTAGAACATCAGATAATATACTTATTGGAGTAATCAACAAGAAATTTTAATATTTCAAATTTCAATCACCTTTGATATCATTTTAAAATGTTTCGTATTTCAATAACTTGGAAAACTTCTTCGCAATGGTGACGAATGTTATTCGCGTCGTTTGCAACCTTTTTGAATTTCGTATCACGTCTTACTATTCATCATCAACTTTCCTGACATAGCTCCATACCCGGCTGTAGGATGAGAGAGTCGACTTTTATGGCCCCACGGAGCCCCAACAAAAAACTTTCCGGTGTTATTTGCATGAAAGTTCTCCTCGAACTTTACATACGTCCCCGGAGTCAGTTGGGATGTACCAGAGTAAGACCTTTAATAAAGTTTGATGTTATAGGCTGAAGAGGTTGTGCAAATATTTTACTACAATAAGTGCACATCAGTAAGCTCAAACTTACATAAACAGAGATTTATTTACATCTATACCAGATAAATTACAAAAATAATCCTCTTTATAAACATATGTGCAATAACTGACAAAAATATCATGATTTAAAAGTCTAAAAAATTTGAGGAAACATAACAAACAGCCTTGAAATAATTAAAGAGTCCAAGAAATAATGGAAAGCACATACAGGGTGTAACGTAAGTACGTTAAAATATTCAAGTGACGTATTCCTGAGACAATTTTAAGAAAAAAAGTCTTCATAAACTTCTGTCCGAAAATGCTTCGTTTCGAAGATGCAGGGTATTGAATTTGAATTTTTTTGTTTGTTTTTTAAAAATAACTTTTGCAAAAAAATAGTATTTGCACGAAATTTATTACCCGGGGTTTTTTGACGTGGGAAATCAAAATTTCGTATCAATTTTAATGCATCATCTAGAGGGCGCTGCGTACGCTGTCATTATTTATTTCAAATTGCCCTAATTTTTTGACAGTAAACTTTTGGTAATTTTCAAGAAAAAAACCTAATTCCCACACCTTTTCCGAGTGAGAAAGGTACATATTCTCAACAACGATGCATTTCCGGACACAAGTTTATATATACTTTTTTCAATTTGTCAGGAATACGTCATTTGAATCTTTCAACGTACTTATGTTACACCCTGTACACAGTGAATAAATCAAATTGGGGCTCAAATTCAATCTCAAACTTCATAGTGATCTTTCTCTATGAGTCTGGATTCTGAAATTTCAATTGATTGATTAAAAATGCTACAACCCAATATGAAAGACTTTTTCAATATATAATGTGCTTATTGGTCGCAAAAAAGTTCTTGGATTCTGTAACATACTTAAGGCCTTTCACATTGAAGAACTCACGTATATATTTTTAAACAGCACTTTTTTACAAAATAGTTTGCCAAACTGTAACACGCTTTCACTATACAATAGATTTTCCAGGAGCGCCGTGACGATACTTAGAAGTCGACCCCGTCATGTAACTTCAGTGTTAATTGATTCTTGATAATGACTTCAGAACAGAAACTGGAAGATGAGTACTATTCTGATCATTCACAATTTGATTTCAATTTGAGAGCCATCGGTAGACAGCTGTTTCAGCCTGTTTGGCATCGTCACTATCGAGCAGGCGGTCCTCGATTGAAGACAAAATGTGAAAAACCAAAAACAGTGTTTGATAAAAATAACTGCATAAAAGCAAGCGAGATATAAATGGAACCTTCTATTGGTGTGACACCCAAGTTAGCTTGCCAAGTTTTTATGTCGGTGTTGGTAGTTTGACCAATCAACTGACAACTGCATTAACGGTACTATTCGTTACTGACCAGTTAGAATATGAAAGTTGATTATTTTGGGAGAAGCAGCAAGCGAGAAATGTGTACTCTTATAAGCTTCAGAGATATTATCATAATCATACTATATTTCAGGAAACTCAAGTTGTTACTTACAGTGTTGTTGAGATTCGGTTGCAAAAGGTGTGCAAAAAGTACACAACAAACATGAACTTTTTGCGAACCAACTTCAACAATAATATTTCATTCATGTATAATATTAGCCTATTCTTTCCCATTGCTCGCTATTCTCTTTGCCTCTTCCATGTCAATTCTTTCTTTTGCAGTATTGAACACATGGCTCCAACCCAAGTAATTCTTAGTCTTCCTTTTTTCTTCGTTTCCTGTGTTTCTGCTGCTCATATCCGTTTAGTCGATCTTGTGTTATTCATTTTTTGCAACTGTTTCTACCACGCTAGTTGCCTCTTTTCGAAAAATATTCCAAGGTTGATTCTAAACTTAATTCTTCCATGATTTTCATATTTCTCGAACATTATATTATTCTTCGTTTTCCTTGTGATTTCACTTCCATAATTGAATGTTTCAGTCATTCCATTGTATATTTTCGTTGTCTTTTCTGTTATGTTTCTATGATTATATTTTCTCTTTTTTTCCCACCATTTTCTCACAACCTAACCACCATTATTTTCGTTCAATTTTCATTTAGTCATTTCTCATTTTGTATTTCCTTAGTATATTATTCCATGTTTCTAAGTAACTTTGTGGATCTTTTTCTCTCTCGATTATTATGACGGTGTCATCATATTCTATACCTAATTCTTTCATGATTTTTATATTTCTCAAACATTACATTAATCTTCGTTCTTATTGTGATTTCACTTCCATTATTAAATGTTTCATTCATTCCATTGTATATTTTCGTTATCTCTTCTATTATGTTTCTATGATTATATTTTGTCTTTTCCCACCGCAATTTCCTCACAACCTAATCACCATTATTTTCATTAAATTTTCATTAAGTCATTTGTCATTTTGTATTCCCCTACTATATTATTCCATATTTCTAAGTAACGTTGTGGATCTTTTTCTCTCTCGATTATTATGACGGTGTCATCATCATTCTTCCGGTATATCTACTTTTATACCTACTGTATTCCATTATGTGGTTTTTTTGGTTCTAGCTGGGCACTTTTTCATAACTTTGTCTATGTTTATGGTGAATAAAGTGTGACTCAAGCCACCACCAATATCCTACAATCCTTTTTTTCAATATCTATGGAGGCAATTCCTAGAAAGTCATCCTGCATATCATCCTCATCTCCACGTGGAGTGAATGACTTTGTAGCGTAAACATTTTATCATCCTTTGTTTTTTTGTTTCAGGTTTTGTCCTTGGGCGCCGATATCCTTCCAGAATACAAACTCCAAAATCCGCGGATTCATAACTACACAATTCTCCACTATTCTCCTTTCAAGGCCGTGTGGGATTGGATAATTCTTATCCTGGTCATCTACACGGCCATCTTCACGCCGTACGTTGCAGCTTTTCTGCTCGGTGAACCGGATTTCAACAACAGAAAAAACAAGAAATACGGCGAAGATCCAATCGTAATTATAGATCTCATCGGTGAGTATTCACTTGAATTGTATTAGAAACATTGGCGTTTGTATTCGCAATGTTCAGTTGGGCGAATTTAGAAACAGTCTTCAGAATTCTTACAGCCTACTAGTTTTCTAACAAAGTATGCAGTAGGACGAAAAAAATGGAAAATATAAACAGTGTGTGAAAGCCAAATGGAATAAATTCATTATTTTGGTTACTGTACATATTCAAAAAAAATCCCGAAAAACGTCTGATTTGAATCATTATTTGACATTATTCAACGTAAAAATGCCACCCTTTCCATCAACCCACTTTGAATGACAGGTACAACCCCAATTTTTTTCAATGTCATATATAGGTCTGTGATATATCGTTTAAAAGGTCTCTGCATTCCCTATTCAAAATGTTATCTCTTTCAAGTTTATTGCAACAATTTAGATAAAATAAATTGAACTCATGTGGTTACCGAAATTCGATAAAATACAATCAAAAACTAAAATGTAACGCAAAACGTAATGAAATGTAGAATACGAAAAAGAAATATGAATGTTAACGAAGTAAATGTTCAAAATGTTCACCGCGAACGTCTTCGTAACATCCTAATCTCAAATAAAACTGTCTTCTTACATTATTTAACATATCAGGCCTGACCGACCTAATCGCAAGCATTATTCGTTCTTTTAGATCATTCAAATCTGAAGGTTTAGTTTTGTACACATTGGTCTTCACATATCCCCATGAAAAGAAATCTAATGATGAAAGATCAGGGTATCGCGCTGGCCATTCAATCGATCCTCGCCTCCGTATCCACCGATTGGGAAATGTTGTATCGAGGTATTGCCGGACATTAACTTGGTAATGTGGTGGTGCTCCATCCTGCTGAAACCATATCGTATTCACTGGAACTTGAGGGTTTCCTGGATCAGGATATAAATCTGCTAAACTTATAATGACATCATTTTGAAGTAGTGCCAAATAATTATCGCGATTCAAGTTGCCCTCAATGTAAAAGGGACCAATTTTATGGTTTCCTACAATCCCTGCCCAAACATTAACCTTTGGAGGGTATTGCGTGTGTTCTTCTCTCATCCAGTGAGGATTTTCCGTTGACCAGTAGTGGCAAGAGACAAAGTACACTCATCAGAAAACAACATGTTCTAAGTGGATGATATTGTTATCCAATATGTCCATCATTTGCTCACAAAAAAGAGTTCTTCTATCAAAATCGTCTTCCATTAGTTCCTGAGTAGGTATCATTTTATTTTCAATATGTTTACTATCGATGTATAATAATATATAGTAATAATGATAATATTAATATGTTTATTATCGCATACACTGATATACATTACACGAGTGCTATCGAAAATAAACAAGATAATCACAGAAGCCATAGAAATCTATAGCTTGTTCGTGATGAGGTTTCCTTGTAATTAACTGTATAAATACTCAATCTAACATTGAAAGATAATGAATAATGAATTAATCAATAACCTTATTAACAGAGACAGTAGTTTCAGACAGAATACACAGTTATTTTCGTCTGCTCAACAGATGATTCAGTTAAATTGCTGTTTGAAATAGTTTGATTAACAAAATTAGAAAAGAACTCTTTCGGTATTCAGAATGAATTTCTTTCTTCTTTCTCAAACATGTGAGAACTGTTGACATTTTTTATTTTTTCTGGTAATATTTGGTATAAGCGTGGTCCGAGATATGTTGCATTTCTTTGTCCTATGGGTTTGTCACATCGTGGTGCATTTAAAGAGTTTGCCTTATTCTTTGTATTGTAGGAGTGGATGATTGGTTTTATCTTGATGTTTAATTTTTTTACATTACTGAGTATGCTCATACAAAAAAGTTGTCGAATATCACATACATTCGCTTCTTTAAATAAGGCAGAAGTTGGATGAGTTTTTTTCCTATTAAATATAATCTTCAGTATCCATTTTTGTATGACATTCAGATTCCTAAGATAACAATCATTCACTCCTCCCCAAGCTATTATACCATAGGATAGTTGGAATTGGACAAGTGCGAAGTACAACGTTTTCAAATGTTGAATGTCAAGAAAGTTTTTGTTATTGAATTTAGAAAGGTTACCTCTCAACTTTCTGATTATTTCTTCCATATGTAGGTGCCATCGAAAATGTCTATCTAAATAGATACCTAGATATTTTATTGACTCGCCTTCAGGAATGTGATTGTTTCCTATATTTAGGGGTCCAATATTGGGTAATGTACTGCAGTATGATGTGAAAGGCAAATATTTGTTTTTTTCGAAATTGATCGTAAGTTTATTGTGACAGAACCATATTTCGATCTCAATGAAATCTTTTTCTGCAGACATTTTCAATTAGTTCCATGAAGAGCCGGTATACAAGAACGCCGTATCGTCAGAAAAGCTCAAAATTTTACCTTTTGTTTGTATCTGCAATAGTTCATTCAAATATATTGTAAACAGGATTAGTCCTAGAACCGTTCCTTGCGGAATACCATAAGTAACAATTTTGGGATAACTCATAGTTCCATCAATACTAACTCTCTGTTCTCGGTCACATAGATAGATTTCGAAAATGTCGTAAGCTTTCCCACGTATTCCGCAGTTCTCTAATTTTCTCAGGAGTTTTGTTTAACTGACGGTATCAAAAGCTTTGGATAAATCAACGAATATGCACATTGCTGGATTTTTTTGTTAAGAGCTTCGTAAATACAAGTAGTTAGATTTTGTATTGCATCTTCCGATGATCTTCCTACCCTGAATTCGTATTACTGATCAGATATCAATTTGAATTTTCTAGTAAAATTCACTAATTTTTAGAATTTTCTCTATTACTTTGGCTATGTTTGAGATCAGTGATACAGGTCTATAATTACTCACTATTGTTTTTTCTCCACTTTCAAAAAGTGGTTTTATAATTCCAATTTGGAATATTTTGGGAAAACAGCCTTCCTGTAAACATTTGTTGATTAGGTGAGTTAATGGCGTTTTAATTTCATTGACTATCAATTTGAGCGTTTCTGAGCGAATTCCATCATGACCTGGAGATTTCTTCTGTTTTAATTCCATAATAACTTTGTAAACATCCTCTTCATTAGTTTCTGATAGATATATTGAATTCTGTAATCTTTGTTCATTGTAATTGTAATCAGCCGATTATTTAATTTTAAGGGCTCATTCTTGACCAAGATTTGCATAGTACTCATTAAAATTTTTGCAAATTTCCAAAGTATTTTTCATCACTGATCCATTCTCTGATTGAATAATCGGTATTTTCGTTTCAGGTCTAGATTTATTGCATATCTCATCGACACATTTCCATAGTTCTTTTGAGTTTTTACTGTTATTTATTATTTTCCGAGGATTATCATTTGTACTAATTTCTCCCTTATTGTAGAGGGTTTCGTACCCTTTCATACTAATTGTCTCGAGGTCGTGTATTTTAAAGGTTTCTGTTAGAATAATTATATCAAATTTTTCATTAAATTGAATAAAAAATATCAACAATTCATCTATATTTTTTAAAATACTACGTATATTCATATGTAAACATTTCAATCCTTTCAGTTTATTTGAGATGAGTTCTGCATCATTTTCTATAATTTTAGCAAAAATCGGTTCGTTTGTATATTCCCTAATATAAGGATCCATACTGGTTCTTATAATACCCTAAAAACAATGAAAGTTTTCTTTACACTAATCACCAAAGAAATTTTAAACAATGAAGATTTATTTGAAATATTCTAGTGTCGAAATGATTGTTCATTAGTACGGGAGATAGCCTATTAGTTTATGTTTCGGGTTATTTAATTGAGTTTTCGAGCGATAATATAGAACATATTGGATAGATATCAAATAGTGATACAATACTAAAATTATATTTTAGAAGATTCAAAAGAAGTGTTGAGTATTTATCTACCTCCAGATTCACTATCCTTTGTGTTACTTCTCTGTCTGGTTTTTGGTTTATCTGCTGGATTATCCGTTTCCGAGTTTCTTCGTATTTTTGGAGGATCTTGCAAAATAGTCTTTTCAATATCAACGTGTATTTTTGAAGGTTGTAGATTTTCAAACGCTAGTTTCGATAAATAGTTTTGTTGAGGATTGGGCGTGTGTGGTACACTGTTTGGTCTTTTGCTATCTATTTCTTCTTCTGTTTGTTCCAGTTCTTGTATTCCAGTATTGTATACGCAGTACCGTTTACGACAAGTTTATTTCCTTTAATAGATGCTCTGTTGGTGACAGTTTCTCTTGCTTTCTTCAAATATTTCCTCGGAATTTTACTTTCTTCTCTTTGTGCCTCCGTTTGATCATGGACAAAGTATATTTTCGTCCCACTAAGTTTGCTACAATTTCTAAAAATTTCCTATTTCTTCAAGCGAGATACTATAGGTAACATTATTTCACCTCTATCTTATCAAGTCAATATTTCTTTCACTTGTGGATATTTTCCATCTTTATTGAAAATCGGCAAAGTCATCCCAGTATACAAAAAGCAAAATTTAGCAAATCTTGAAAATCTTGAAAATTACTGTCACATTCTGCTTTTCTAAGGTTTTTGAATATACTTATCTCCAAAGACTTAGAAATTTTAGTCAAATTGAAAGAAATTGGTCAAAGCAATCGAATCAGGTGAGTGCCCTGTTGGGATCTTCTGCGATCTGTGATCTCAACAGGGCATTTGACTGCGTTCAGCATGAGGTACTCTTATGATGCAGTGTTTGGAACCTTTGGTGTAGTAATGAATATTACTAGAGTTTTTTTCCACCACCAAATCGTTATTTTTGATACCTCGACACGTGTTTCGATCACAAAGTGATCATCGTCAAGAAGAAGATTAAACTGCAGTATAATGCTGGGAAAAAACTTCAGTAATATTCATGAGGTACTCTTGTCTAAATTGCACAAATATGGTATTCGTGGAGTTTCACTCGACTGGATACGGAGTTTCTTGACCCACAGAAAACAGTCTGTTAGTATATCTTCCACTAAATCCGCATATCAAAATATCTCTATGGGCGTT